AGGTACACAGATTGAGGTCCCAATCTGCTTCACGGAATGTCCACCGCTGTCTTCGTTGGCAGCAGAACTGTGGATTCCCTGCTGCCCCCTGCTTGCACGTGGAAACACCAAGAAACGCGGAACCCTTTGGAACAGGGGTTGACACACACACATATCTAAAGAGTCCGGCAGGCTGTGGAAGTGCACTTTTTCACCAATTTTTGAGCTCTGCTGAGTTATCTGACATGTCTGCCTTCAGCAGAGGTAGAAGGTGAGAATTTGGCAAGACAATTGGCTGTGAGAAGGGTACCTTTACTGCAAAAGCTATTTTTTCTTTAAACTAAGGTAGAGTAAAACTTTGGCATAATCACTATAGGGCCAAATCCCATATTTTTTAGAAAATAGTCTATTATATTTCGACGTTGAAAATTTGATTCTTGGTCAAGTCTAATTTAGTTCCAGAGAGCAGATGTTGCTGGGGGGCATGAGTTTAAGACAAAATGATATAAAAATCATGTGTTTTACAGTGTTTTATTGCCCTGGGAGTGCTGGGAACTAGGTAGATAGATAGACTTGTTCAAGTAATATTTGGAATAATCATTTCTATATTAAGAAAGCTTTATATAAAAATTTCTATGTGAAAGGTGTTCCTCTAGATCTCTGGAATGATCCCTTCTATAAAACACATGTTAAAGCTGCTAATTCAAGAGTTTTCCTGTTCATCTTTGGATTTTCAGGATTTATTATATTAAAAAGCTATTTTTGAAAGCCTTTTTGTTCAAAAGCTTTCCTTTAAATCTCTGAGAATAAACATTTCCACATGTAAAAAATCATGTATATAAGCAGTTATTTTAAAGCTTACTTTTTCATTTCTGAGAATGATCATTTCTATATTTAAAATTGCCTTCTACATTGTAAGTGTTTATTCCCAGAGTTGTTCCCTAGATTTCTGGGATTGATCACTTCTATATTCAAGACTAATATCCAAGTGTGCATTTCAAAACCTGTCCCCCAGATCTTTGGGCATGATGATTTGTTTAAAGCTTATATATAAAAGCTGTGTATTTCACAAGAAAGGATTTCTGTGAATAAATATTTCTATACTTAAAAAACTCAGTATAAACAGATAAAAGTGTCTTGCACAAACTTAACTCCAGATCTCTGGGGTTGATCACTTCTACATTGAAAAACTTTGTTTAAACGCTGTCATTTTTATAGTTTTCCTCTGGATATCTGGCAAAGTAAATTTTCCAGAGATGTGTGTTTTCTTTAAGTGTATGCAAATACATATATATATATGTACCTGCCACTTGAAAAATCAAACCTTTTTATGGAACACATAAATACAGACCCCATGGGCCAAAACCAAAAACACCTTAAGAAAACACAAATATGTATATTTATGAGAGTCTTGACTGAACCCTCCCACAAAGGACAAACTTCTGAAAACATGTTTTTGGTGTGCTTTAGCGTGTTATCTTCAAGAAGTGCCCACAGATCAAGGAAAAACACTAAACAAAAGAAACACAAATAACTACCTCTTCAGAAGTCTTGTCTTGGGGTAGGTGTCAAACAATAAACAACCCTAGGAGACTGTTCAGGGAGTAAACCAAAAAAAACAATTCCTGGGAGGTCTTGGACACCCCCCCACCCCCAAACCAAAAAAACCACTAAAACCAAAACAACAAAAAAAACAATTCCTGGGAGGTCTTGGACTGGGGGTGGGGGGGTGTCCAAAGAGTCTGTCAGGATTGTTTTTTGTGGTAATTTTTTTGGTTTGGGGGTGGGGGGGTGTCCAAAGGAGGACACCAGTTGAGATGTCCTTGGCAATTCATCTGACTGGATCCTTGCAAAATACGGAAAATATACACCTCCAGACCACTGAAAATAGTGAAAAAGTGCACTTCCGGGGCCTGCCGTTCTGTATCTAGATACGGTAGAAACGTAAGGTTTCCGGGCACAGGAGCCAGCCGCTGGTTCCCAAAGCAAGAACGCTACAAAAGACTTGTGTGGGATCCCATTGCCCTGGCCCTTCCGCAAGGAGCTTGGCCGGCCACTTATTTTCAGTACATGCTGCACGGTGTTGGGTGAAGCACAATATGTATTATGCATACTTGTTTGCAGCCTTCCTTCATTTCTATTCAGCTTTTCCATATCAGCTGATTAATGTCCTTATGTCTTTGGCCCGTGTTGCGTTCAACTTTTGAAAGTGGTCTTGTGTGTGTGTGCCCACCTCCGTCTCCAGGAGGTTCGTTGTTTAATTTCAGCAGGGGGGCACGGCTCGTCATACCTACCGGACGCAATGAAGTTACGGTATGACGAGGGGAGGGTGGACTGATCATCCACCTGTACCTGCGTTGTAAACTGTTGCTTGGTTGTGGTCCCCTGGTTTGTTTTATGGTGGTTCATGTACCTGATGTTGTCCCAGGAGGTGTTCAGGTCATCAGGTAGGCCCGCCAAACCTGTAGTGCGGGCCTTCAACCTGGTTGCGATGGCCTCCAACTACTAGCAATGGCCTCTAACCTTGGCTGTCTGGTTTTTCTTGTCTTGGAGTTTCTTGTCATCAACCTACCAGCGATGGCCCCCCAACCTGCTTTCGATGGTCTCTAACCTAAGAGCGATGACCTCCAATTCAAGTCATGGTCCAATGCACTAAGCTGCTGCCGTTTGAGCAATACCTGTTACGGACTCTTCACCATTCTGTTCCTGCAAACGAAGTGCCAAGTATTCATTGGAGACTACTGGACTTGACCTTCCCCCATTAGAACTATGAACCTAAGTGTGACCTGCTGCATCTTCCCACTTGGGTATGCAGTGTGAAGTCAATCGGGGAATCACCTCTCTGAAAGAGTGCATGCACCGGAAGCCATCGACTGATTAACCGTTCTGCACGGATCTACTGGTTATTATGCTGCCGAGCACACGGAAAAACTCATTGAAATATCTTCAGATTTTTCATGCGTGCAAACTAATTCAACTTTCTCCAATCTCCCCCCGCCCCTCCTTTTCTCTCTTGCGTTTTTGATTGTTTGTTAGGTGTTTCTTCAGGCGTGTTAGGTTGCTTTTGAGGCTCGTTTCGTCGACCCTACCCCTCGGCTCCTGCTTTTTGTTTCTCTTTCTAGGTTTGACTCTCTTCTAGATGCTTTTTGGATGGGTAACCAGGTCTGTTTAGTCAAGTGAACGCCGGCCTGGACTAGAACCCAGGCAATCCTTAAGCTATCTAATGCGGCTACCTGTGTGTGTCCACCTCCGTCTCCAGGAGATTCTTGGTCTAATTTCAGCAAGGGCGTACGGCTCGTCATACCTACCGGATGCAATGAATCTACGGTATGACGGGGAAGGGTGGACTGATCATCCACCTGTACCTGCGCTGTAAACTGTTGCTTGGTTGTGGTCGCCTGGTTTGTTTTATGGTGGTTCATGTACCTGATGTTGTCCCAGGAGGTGTTTAGGTCTTCAGGTAGGCCCCCAAACCTGCAGTGCGGGCCTTCAATGGCCTCTAACCTTGGCCGTCTTGTGTTTCTTGTCTTTCAGTTTCTTGTCACCAACCTACTAGCGATGGCCCCTCAACCTGCTTTCAACGGCCTGCGACCTAAGAGCGATGACCTCCAACTCAAGGCAAGGTCTAACGCACTAAGCTGCTGCCGTTTAAACGAACTCTTCCCCATTCTGTTCCTGCAAGCCAAGTGCTAAGTATTCAATGGCGACTACTGGAATTGACGTTCCTTCATTGGAACTATGAATCTAAGTGTGTGTGTAACCCTTGGAAGCACAAAGACCCGTTTGGAGTTGTTTTCGTTTTTCAGCCAACGAAGTC